AGTACTCATGTATTTCAGCAGCATTCGTGGAGTTGGTTCTTCTGAAGACCCCCGGAGTGTTCAGGGACTAAGTACACTAGACTTCCTGCTTGTCACATATATTGAGTACCCATGTGAAGGAACACAGTTTGGGAGAAAGATCCATGTATGTAACCATCTTGCAGTTCTCCACTACCTAGACTGCTGTGGGGTCTGCATTGACTTTGTGTGAACTTGAGCAATAAATCGTTGTAAACCTGCCTGCCAATAGACACTACAGCTCAGTGTTGTTTCACTGACCTCCTTTCTAGCCTCTTGTCCTTTTCACATGCCAATTCTGGAGAGATTAAAGAAGTATTTCTGTGGGCTAGGCTAGGTGACTGAGCTGTGTAGTAGGGCTAAATGGAAAAGATAATAACAACTGGCCGAACAGTCCAGATTTCTGAGCCTGTTAAATGTGGTTGACGTTCAGGATTGTTACGAGGATAAATGAGGAAATTAGGGTGTATGTTCTGATTTTGGCAGTGTGGACTTTTTCTATGTTGTGCCATCAGTCAGCATAAAATGATTCTAGAATATGGTAGCTAAGATGTCAGAGCAAACAGCTGTGAAATAGAACCATCAGTTGTGTATGAAAAGAAAAATGTTGTCGCATTCTGCAGACCAGAAAATGGGAAAGGATTGTTGTGAGAAGTATCTTAAAAATATAAACCACAATGTTAATTTCTGGAAATATTTCTGTTCAGTGACACTCTACATAGAAAATGCGGAACAGAAAGCAGCTCTGCGCTTGACCCTTTCCAGCCTCTCATTTGATCAGTTATGAAAATACAGAAATATTTTTTTTTCCAGTTGGATATAGTGTCTCTGTTTCAATGGCATTCGGGCTGTTTTCTGCCTGGAAAATCATTTAATATTTCTACCTTCTGTCAGGAAGGAAGTGGGATGCTTCTTCAAATTTTAAATTCCTTGGACAATTCGCCACATATACATAGGTCTGATTTTTCTTGAAAAGTTAGCAGCTCTGCTGATGAGACACTGGTTTGGTACTGACTCAGTGAGACATATGCTGCCTACTGAGTCACCATCGCTGCTTTGTGGGCTGGCTGGGTTTGTTTTGGGTGGGGGATTTCCAAGTACTGACCTAGCCCAGGCTTCATTAGGTTCTGAGGCTTGATAGGATCACAGCCCAGAGCGGTAAACCCACAGGTCAGATTTGTATCCTTTCTCCTTAATAATGTGCTTGGGTGGGGTGGCAGGAGAACAAGCCTTTCTTGCAATGAGTAATTGGATGTTTTACAATCAATACCTTAATTTATGTAATACCTGTAATCATATTTTGAAGTGTATGTAAATTTGCTAGTGGTTTAGAGAATAGATCATGTCTGGTTTGAACACAAGATCAAAGAGAATTTTTAAAACCCAATCTGACAACATGAAGCATAAACAAATTATGTAATTTTCCTCCCCCCATATATACGTGGAAGGAGAGTGAAGGGAGGATTGAAGAACATGTACAATTGATATGCACATTCCTAGCATTTTTTATAGACTTGTATAAGGGAAAGTAATGAGGATGGGAGGAAGCTGGGAAGGCCAGGGTGACAGGAGCTTGACATGAGGCAGGTTATTAAAGCAGCTGGGAATGTCGTGTACACTAACTTTATGAACGAAAAGCTGTTCTGTGCACGAGAGAATGAGGAAGCGTTTCTGATTTGTCTGCAGAATAATTTCTAGGCAGCTGCAAAGTCTGCAGTTCTGCAGGGACTTTCCCTGTCTTAAGGATGTTTCACTGGAAGTAAAACTTAGCAATAGTTGTGGCTTTCATGGTAGTGTGCATGGACCTAATTTAACTTTGGGTCAGCCTAGATAGTGGCTAAACTAATCTGAAGTATTGTAATTAAAGATACATAATTTAAGAAGCTTCTCTGCCTTTTAATTACAATCTTTAGAAAGGTTTTTAGTCTATTTTCTGCCTATGATTGTTGTCCACTATTGAACAATTCCCCTAGCTGTGGAAGGGCCCCTTTTTTTTCATTTTCGCCTATATTTATTTTCTTGCTTTTTATATCAGACCCTTAGTTAAGGACCGTAGCCTTGAAAGATCCTTATTTTTATAACTTACTTCCATGTAGAATAGAGATAAGCCAGCAAACAACAAAAGATTTAAAGTCTTTGTAAGCCTTCTTCACCAGTGGTTTTAACTCACTGTTTTAGCATGTATCTCTCATCTACATCAATGCTTTTTATGTGTCCCAGACTATTGTTGTCTTGAAACAGGAGTTGTTGAGAGTTACATGTGGGGAATATTTGGTAATGAAGGGATAGAGAAGCTCTGAATAAAAGAGATTAAGATGAATTTTAGTCAGAGGAGGAGGAAAATCTTAGGCAATTAGTTATTTGTTTTTTCAGGCAGGTGGTACTTAGGATCTAAATAATTTGCTAAAAATAGATTATTTTTCCTTTTTAACTTATTTAAGCATGGAAGGGTTTGTTTCATGTTAAGAAAGATCTTGGTTTCATTTTGCACTAGTACAAAAACATTTCAGAATCTCAACTTTTTTTTTTTCTCCAGAATGAAATTCTTTTTTTCATTGGTCTTTGTTGTAAATAATAATTTTATCACATGTACAGGCCTTACAAACAGTGTTGTGAAATCACATTAATAAAACTTCCATTATTTTGTAGTTCTATGGAGTTTTACATTCCAGAATATGCATTGAAATTGGGGTGTATTCATAGCTGATCATTTTCCCTACGAACGGATTCAGCTGATGTTCACTAGAATGTTTTAGAAGTGAAAAAAAAAAAAACCAAGGAGAAAATATAGTTAATAGCTATTTGTTCTGTGAAATTGTGTGCAGAGTGTACACAAATAACTCTTTCTCATAAGATCAGAATATTTGACAAGAGTACACCAAAACAGTGGTGCTGAAAGTATCATCATGGTTTAGGTGAAGAAATATCCACCTCGGAGATCGTGGTAAATACAGTTAATAAAGCGTAGCTTGTAAAAGGGGGGGGGGAGGGGAACTCCAGAGTAAATATGTAATTTAGCTGCCCATGTTAAAATTGTAGTAATGCTTCTAGTGTTGGCAAACACAGAGAAGGGCACACTAACTCAAGCCATTCTGTAAACTGGCTGCTTCTGGTAAGTCTGCAGTATAGCATTAGGACATGCTTAGAAAAAATGAATGCCACGAGTAAACTAAGATTAGACTTAGAATTGTTTCTTTATTGAGACAATTTCACGTAGTGTGGGTAAGGATTCAAATGTGAAAGCATTTATTATGCAGTATTATGTCTTACAAAAAAATGGCAAATGCTTTAACCTGAAAGCAATGCATTTTCTCTTTATTGGCCCTGGTTTTGCACCTTGTCATCTCATCCAATAAATGGCAGAAATTAGTTCATGTTTTGCAGAATAAAAACTGAAGTTTTTATTCTGTATGATGCTACTGCATTGGATTACTGGTAAATTTTGGTGTGGAGGACAAGGATTGAACCAGCAGATATCCTGTTTAGACCAGACTGAGAAAATTATGCTGGTCCCCAGCTCCAGTATTATGGCTTCTGCTTTTTTACGCGTAACTGGGTTTTCCAAAAGTGCAATGAATCTGGAAAAAAAAGCAGGGGGAAGGGCCTATGGAGGAGCAAGGCAGAGCTCTAGCTTTCTGCCTTTTTGTGCTTATAAGAGGTAAAATAGGAAGGGAGGTATATTCCTGCTCTTGCAAATGTGTTTTTCCTCTTTTCCATAATGAAGACAGACCCAGTTCATTACACTTTGCAGCTGTAGTTCTAGGCATTTGACATCCATACTGCCAACTATAATAATTCTGAGTCAGCAGAAGTTCCTGCTAAACTACACATCTCCTTTGTTCGAGAGGAGTATGCAGCGGAGCATACAAGACAAAGATTTCTTAAAAGAAAACTAACATTTTTATTCAGCAGTTCTTTTCTATGAAGTGGAAACTGCTTGATCTCCAGTGTTCTGCCTCTCCTCCAAGTCATGTGTACAGCTTGTCTGGTGAAGATTTTTGTCTCTACATGTGTATGCAGGTTCTCCAGAGCTAAGCAGAAGTAGTACTGGATCAGTAGAATCCCAGACATTTCATAAAACTTACTGGGAAGGGAAGTGAGAGCTATTGTTAGTGTTCAAATGAAAATACCTCCCTCTCCAGATCAAGATAAGGCCACCAATATGTGTTTGTTAGCTTAGAGAATGGTCTCCAAAACATTGTTGTGTACCATTAGATACACACACACACCAAAAAGACAAAGTGAATGACACTTCTCTGTGTACTGTATCTTCCAAATTATACAGTTAAAAATTTCACTTCACACTCAGTTACCACTTTTTGCCTACTCTAGAATATGTTTTCTTGTTTTCCATTTCATTGTTTGAAGAAGAGAAATGTGTAGATTGATTCATAGAAGTCCATATGACAATAAGGAATATAAAAAATGTAGAGAATACCACAAAACATGAACTGGATTCTTATGTGGACTTCTTATTTTCATATCAACTTGTGCTTAAGTGTGCTGAACAATCTGCATATCTCAATGACTCTTAGAAATCTCAATGACTCTTAGAAGGGGGTAGTTTTTCTAACTTCCATTTGGAACTGTGGTTTGCTCTGGATTCACTGAATAAAACTAACACACCGTTGTCAAGAATTGCAACATATATTTCATTCCCAGAAAAGTTGAGAAGTGTCCAAAGTGTTTTAAAAAAATGTCTGAACAGATAAAACAGTAGTAAGCATAATAGCATAAGGAGTGCTGAAAGTAAATTATGTATCACGTTTTCTGACAAGTTTGTATGTTTAAAACTATTTTATCTGGAAACTAGTGATGAATAGGTTCTGTCTTCAAGGAGCTTGCGATAGGACTTATTTTTTCAGGGTTATAATAATTTTATTTGTAATTATGTAATAAAATGAACTGTATCCTTCAAAAGAATTGCCCACTGAAATATACTGAAAAGTTTCTATTCTGTTTCTTTGATCTGTTTCATGTAGGAAAGAAGGGAAAGGGAACGAAAGCTGAGCAAAGAAATGGCAGAAAAAGCCACAAAGGAACTAGAAAAAATGCAGTTACAAGAAAAAGCTGAAGTAAAGTATAAAGAATGGTTAAAGAAGAAGAGAGCTGAAGAGGCAGAAAAGAAGAAGAAAGAGAAGGTATTAATCAACTAATCATTTATTTGGGTGGTGTTACCTAATCTGTAACTTACATTAAATATATTGGTTGATTGAATTGATTACAATTTATCAAATGGCAGTGTTGTACATGAAAAAAAGCTTTCAAGAGCTGTAATGTCGGTGCATTGATGACATTGAGGTATGGTCAGCAAAGCAAGATGCATATTAATGTGTTTTTGTTGATAGTCTTTGCAAACCCACTGCAAGTGTGATATGATAACAGTGTACCTTTATTACTCAGTCCTTTGCAGGGTGACCCAGGCAGAAAATAGGCTGTGTTCTGGTCATTTTTCTTCCAGCACCACTATTACCATTATATTATTATACTTGCACATATTTCTAAGTAAAAGTAATTTTCTTCATATCTGCCTGTACCAATCTGATGCTAGGAGTTCTAATTTTAATGTTATTTCATATTAACTAATCACCTATGTATTTTTATAGTGAGCTGCAGAAGACCTCTTACTTGTATGCTTCCTAAAATACGGGCTTTGAGGTCCTCTAGTTCACTGGAACAAATGCTGAGAGCATGGCTATGCTTGCAGCAATATTCCAGAATTCCTCTGAAATATCACATATTGGTAATGATTATGCCTGAAAACTATGAAATGTGTGACCAGATGTCTTATCTGTGAAGTTAATTGGTTGTATTTTAGTTTAATTAGCATTACAGTATAATTGTTCATGTGGAATATGTAATATTATAGGAGTACTATATTATTGTTGTAGCTAAGCATGGAGGAGGATTGTGGTGAGAAGAATTTATCTATATTCCCCCTGTAATTACAGTTGCAGTTGTTCTTAAACTGCAGAGCACATTTCTAAGTATTTCACAAGTACATATAATAATTTCTTTGGATTAACTTTAAAATGCCATAAGATGTGTCAGATCAATTTTCAGGCCTTAACGACCTTCATTTTGCAGTCTTTTAAAATTTCCCGTATAATTAAAATGCACTTAAATATTCTGTACTAGTGATTTTATTTCCTGGTTAACAAACTGATTCTCTGTCTCTGCTGAGCCTCTAAAATGCACAGCACAAGGACCTTGAAACTGAAGAAAATTAAAATCATCAGACATGTAAATCGTGTGCGTTCTTACAGTCATGTTTTCATTGTGTAGGTTCTTGTAAGCCAGGCTCACAGGATCAATTAAACAGTTTAAATCCAAATGCTATGGCTAAACATATTGTTTTTACTCTTACTTCTGATTAATGGTTCCCCAAGCTCGCTCCACGTTTGGAGGCAACTCAGTCATGGCTGATACAGGGCCGTACGCATATAGGTAAATGAGAAGAGTGGATGGCTGTCCCAGGTGCAATAGCCTCTTTAGGCTAACTGCAGCACAGTAGGCCCTGGTCACCTGCCCATTATGTTCAGAATATCTTCTACATGTAGTCTTCCAAAAGGTTTCTGAGAGCTTTTTCTCAGAGAAACACTGGATTAATATGGATGTTGATTTTTTTTTTTCTAGACTTAAAGAAAAAATAAAAGCAACTTTTCTGTTGTTAGGAAAATGTATTTATATTTGAAAACATATTTGAAATATATTCAGCAGTCTTGGAAACCGCAAAAGAACTATTGACCATACTGTGTATATTGTACAGGGCTTTGTCTGTAAGCATCTTAGATTTATTTTTTTTTATTATTATTTTTAGGAAAAAGAAAAAGAAAGGGAAGCTGAGCTACAGGAGAAGAAAGCAAGATCAGAGAAGATCTTTAAGGAATGGCTACAAAATGCTAGAAATAAACCATGCCCTGTTTTAAATGGTTATGGCTTCCCACATGGGAAATCCACAGGTTTGTACTTCTACTACACATATGTAGTGACTTAGGTTTGTGGTTCCTTCCCTCTAGTCTTTTAATGTAAAATGAAGCCTGTTTAAGATTCTCATCTAGTATTTAATTTTGGCAAATAGGAATAAATATTTCATATGGTGTAAGTCAGAGGTAGTTTTACTCTGAGACCCTTTGTGCATATTTTGTACCCCTTCCTGTTACTTGGCAGGAAAATGATGCTATTTGAGAGAATAATGTGGCATACCAAATTATACCTGATTTTGGTCTCATTTTCCTTATCAGGCATGGGAATCACTAGAGCCAGTTACTGGTTCCTGTGAAGCAAATCAGTTATCCTTGTAAAGTTACTGTTTGTGTTACAGAAGGTGTGTGCCACCTTATCGCACCTGAATCCCCCTTAGAAAAGAGGTGGCTTTTTGAGACACAGAGATTAATAAGAGGCTGACAGAAATCCTGTCTGAAAAAGGCGACGTGGAAATCAAACTGTATTCTGAGCTAAGGTTTATTTTCCATTTAGCTTTACACCTGCATCTCACCTTCTTGGCTTCTGTAATCCTATTCCTTCTTTGTTTCAAAGGGAGAATTAGAGAATGCTGTTGGTAGTGTGGTGTTTTCTGAGTCTCATTTTATTTTTGAATTTTTTTGTCATCTTGTGGTACAAAAGCAGAAGATCAGTAAGAAATAGTATTGCATTTTATGTTTGAGTGCTTAATTAACTTTTCTTTAAATATATATATATATGTTCTTGCCTTTATCTTTTTCGTAGAATTAAAATTTAAGAAAATGTATAAAGCAGGTGAACAACCTTTGCTCACATCTGTTTATAGATGGTGAAACAGTTTGCCTTTATGTTTTGTTTTGGACCTTCATTACTTTCTGACAGCTGCAATCACTTGTTTAAGTGATTTTTGAAAAATATGTCTCGACTCAGTTGTGTTCTTGCAGTAGAATATTACAGACTTAGTTTTACCCAACCACATGCTATATGAACTGAAATTTCAGTACCGAAAAATGACTGATAGGGCAATATGTTCCTTCTGTTGCATTTTAGGTTTTCTAATACTGCTTTATGGGACCTAGGCTATTAATTGCAGGTTATTGAGTATATGTGGATAATTAGTGTATGTTTCTCCTCAGTAAAATGAAGAGAAACAGTTAAGCAAAGATGGAAAAATACGTGAGCTTTGCATATGTGGTGACAGGAGGTTTTATTTATAAATGCGAAGTTGCAAATTCATAGAGATTTACAGCTTTTAAGTATACAAAGGACTGAGCATTCTGAAGGTTACACAGCATTTGACATGTTTCTTATGTTAAACAGTGATGAAGGATATGCCAGTTATTGGTAAAAAGAAAAAAAGGTGGAAGATTTATTATTTTGAGTCATTTAAATTGTGATGTGCCTGTGCTGTCATCCTCTGAAGATGCTGTTGTGTATTTGTTAGTCCAGATGATTATTATCACTGCTTGCATTATAAAGCTTGTAGTGTAAATATTCCTTTTTAGTTATGTGTATTTTCTAAATGTTTTAGGGTGTGTTGATGGAAATTCTTATCCAGCTCCAGCATATTGTAACCCCATTCCTTGGAAACCTGTACATGTGCCTCCTCCAAAGGAAGACAGTGTTCTTACCACGAAGAAGAGTAAGAGACCTGTATCTTGTCAGTCACATGTGTCTTCACGTATGGTAATTTATAAGCCCAAGAACAACCCTTGTATTGGATCCTTGTGCAGAAAGCAGTTATAGTACAGAAAACAAAACTAATCTTACGATCTTGAGTTAACTGGGACATAAATACGAAGTTAGATGTTGTTATATGTCCAAAACAGGCTGGTGTGTTTTTTTTAATTTTTGTGAACAGGTTTTGTATTTATAGCTAACTGTCCAATCAGCTTTTTATATGTTTTTTATATGTTGCATTTTAGGGTTTTTTTTAAAAAAGAAAAAAAAAAGTACTATTTAGTTTATTGTAATGGGACTGTACCTCAATACCAATAAAGCACACAGGATTGTTTCTTCCTTTCCTCCTCTTTTGTTGTTGAAGGAGTTCTTTTGTGTATGTGAGCATTCTTTTGGGCAACAGTATTACTGGGTTATTTTAAAGATGCTAATTGAAACTGACTTTAATACAATTCTTGGCTTAATGTAGAAGGAATTCAAGGCCTGTGTGCAGTTGCAGGGTTATGATGTTATTGGGATCACAGAGAGGTAGTGGAATAGTTTACATCGCTGGAGTGCTGCAATGGATGGATACAGGCGCTTTAGGAAGCACAGAGGAGGAGCGTTGAGGAGGGTAGAGAATAGGAGGAATGCATGAATTTTTGCCCAAAGACCAATGATTAGCCAGCTGAGACGTAATGAGTTAAGATAAAGGGACACCATGGTGGGCAATATTGTGATCTGCTACAGACCACCTGATCAGGAAGAAGTGTATGACATTCTTCAGGCAGTTGGAAGAAGCCTTATGCTTGCAGGTCCTGGTCTCATAGGGAGACTTGAACCAACCTGAAATCTGCTGGAAGGGCAGCACAGCAGGGCACAAGCAAAGGTGTTTCTGGAGAGCATTGGGAACTTCCTGAACTTCCTGACACAGCTGGTAGAGGAGCTGACAAGGGGAGTCTCTTTGCTGGACCCGATACATACAAACAAGGGAGAACTGGTTGGGGACGTGAAGGTTGAGGGTAGCTTTGCCTGCAATGACCATGGGATGGTGGAGTTCAGGATCCTGAGAGGAAAAAACAAATAGCAGGATCATAATCCTGAAGTTCAGGAGAGCAGATTTTGTCCTGTTCAGGAACTTGCTTGGAAACATCCCACGGAATATGGTCCAGGAGAGCTGATCATTTGCAAGGATTGCTTCCTGCAAGCTCAAGGATGGTCCATCCCAAAGAGCAGAAAGTCAAGCAGGAGTGGCAGAAAGCCTGCATAGATGAACAAGGAACCCCTGACTAAAATTAAATGTAAAAAGGAAGCATACGAGAGGGAGGAGCAGGAACAGGTGACCCTAGTGAAATATAGAAACACTGTGCAAGTGTGCAGGGATGGGATTAGGAAAGCCAAAGCCTATCCGGAGTTGAAGATAGCAAGGGATGTGAAGTGCAACAAGAAGAGCTTCTGTAGGTATATCGTCAGCAAAAGGGAAATTAGGACAAATGTGGGCCCCTTGTGACACGGGGCGGGGGCTTGGTGACAGTGGACACGGAAGAGGCCAAAGTACGCAATGCCTTCTTCGCTATTTCTTTTTTTTCTGGCAATCTGCTGATTGACCTCAGCAATCACAGGTCGCAGAGTCCAGTGGGAAAGTCTGGAGCAAGGAAGACAACCTTGGGTGGAGGAGGATCAGTTTAGGGAGTATCTTAAACACACTGGACATAACATGAGTCTATGGGATCTGATAGGGTGCACCTGTGAATGCTGTGGGAGGTGGCAGATGTCATTGTAAGGGCACGCTCAATTATCTTTGAGAGGTCATGGCTATCAGGGGAGGTTCCTGAGGACTAGAAGAAAGCAAATGTCAAGCCTGTCTTCAAGAAGGTGGATCTGGAGAACTACAGGCCAGTCAGCCTCACCTCAGTCACCTGGAAAGGATGGATGCAGCAGAGGTGGCCAGCAGCCTCCTGGGCTGCATGAGAAGGAGCGTTGGCCAGCTCGTTGAGGAAGGTGATCCTTCCCCTGTACTCAGCACTGGTTGAGACCTCATCTGGAGTGCTATGCCCAGTCCTGGGCACCCCAGTAAAAGGACATACCAGAGCAAGCTCAGTGAAAGGCCACAAAGATGATTAAGGGATTAGAGCATCTGTCAGACAAACAGAAGCTGAGAGAGCTGGGACTGTCCGGTGTGGAGGTGAGAAAGTTCATGGGAGATCTTACCCCTGTCTGTAAATACCTGATGGGTGGAGAAAGACAGAACAGACCCTATTCAGTAGTGCCCAATGACAGGAGAAGAGGCAATGGGCACAACTTAAAATACAGGACATTCCATTTAAACATGAAACAAAAATTTTCAAAGTGAGAGTGATCAAACCCTGGAACAGGTTGCCCAGCGATGTTGGGGAGTCTCCATCCTTGGAGATACTCAAAATCTGACTGGACACAGCCCTGAGCAACCTGCGGTAGTTGGCCCTGTTTTGAACAAGGGAGTTGGACTAGGTGATTTCCAGAGGTCCCTCCCAATCTCAACAATTAATGTTGTGATTAATGGTGAAAAGGAGAAGGAAGACTTTTTTTTTTTTTTTAACTGTTACCATAGTTGTATCACTTCAAGAAATATATTGTTATCCTTTAAAAAGTACATATTAAAAAGTTTATTATGTATTATAAAAATGAAATTATAAAAAACCCAATAAGGCCCATTCTGGCATGTAAGTATTCTAATATATTGATTCTGCTTCTGATCTTAATAATCAATTTAAATTTCTTCAGAGCAAATCGTGAAAAATACTAAGCTGTCTTGTGTCAAATTTATACTTAAAACATTATTTGTAGCCTTACTTTGAGTGAATCTGTTTATACAAAATACCTGTGACAGTTGTTTCTAGATAATGCCAAATAATAACAAAACTGCAACAGTAATTTATGATATGAATTAGTGTGAAGTCTCACATATTTAGACTTTCATGAAGTACTTCACATTCACCTATTGTTAAGGCAGTCCAAAGGACATTATGCAATCAAGTTAAATTTTTAATTTTACACTGTAAAGTCATGAATATAAAATGACCAGAATGAAAAGAAAGAAAAAAAAGCTTTTAAGAGCAATGTATGAATCTTCTCTGTGTCAATTCTATAATTTTGTTATAGTAGTGGCTAAAAAGAACTTAAGTTGGGTTTGCTGTGTACTACATATTTAAATACAAGTGGAAGCCCATTTTAATACTTGAAAGTGCATCATTTAAGCTGACAAAACACAAAAGCTAGTACGAGTGTATGAGTGTATTAATCAGTTTACCACATACAGTGGGTGCACAAGCTGATCTGATGCATTTCACTTCTACTATCACTGCGATATCTGGGCTCCACAGTGTCTGTGATGGGTCTGTTCTGTAACTGTGTAAATCAAGTGCTGAGCATTTATGAATAAGTAATATACAACATGGGTTATCATTATATTAGTTAATGAATGTTGGTTAAGAGTACCTGACTTTCTGCAGTCTAATATTTGTCACAGGGCATCCAAAGTAAAAACTGTTACTTTTTAATGCTGTATTTATTTAACAGTTTATTTTACTACTTATTCTAATACATAAATAAAACAAAGATGCCTAACGCAGCTCTCTCAAGACAATAGGAACTCCTAGCAAGAGCACTGCCATGGCTTACTAGAATGTTCTCTTAATGCTGATTGTAGGTTATTTCCATATCCTAAAGTATGCAAAGCTTTTGGTATACTGCAGGTTATTTTTTTTTTCTTTAATCAGAAAATAATTTTAATGGGTCATACATTATTTTGTGTGTTTATTTGATGTTAATTTTGCTATATGCACTTAGGAGAAATCTGGACTCCATAAAATATGTGGAGTGTCAAACTGCATTTCTCTTAAGTAGGAGAACGTGGGCTTCACAGAAGTCGTCTGCATGTTATTTTCAGGATGTAGAACTCTGTGCCCGGCTTTTTCTATTAGGACCTCTGCGATGGATTGGTATGAAACTAGTGGATTAATGGATTAGTTGTTAATCTCTCCAGCTGACCTTGCCATGTGGAGATGTCTTATGAGAGTCAGAAGTTTGACAATTGTGTAAGCTACCAGAAGCTCATTAATGTTTAGATGAAGGGACAGCATTTTACTGTAATGTAAGTGATTAATTTTGGATTAGCTTACGGAGGTTTCTTGAGACACGGATTTAGTTGAAGAGCCATATACTATCATGTTAGTATTTTCTCCAATAGTTTTTCTGAAATAGCATGTGGCCACCAGTAAGCTGTGTTAACGTAATTATCTGAGTGTATGTTTATGACTTTGTATTTGGTTTAGCATTTATTTGCTTTGTAGTGGCATAAAATGGCCTATGAAGGTAGACATTGATAGTATTTATATTAGCAGAGCATGAAAGAATCTGTGGCTTGGTTCTGCTGTAACATATCGTTGACAAGATTTCTGTTGGCTTGAACAGTGACAAATGGCACTTTAACAGGGGTTCCTATGCTAACCCAAATAGGGTTTTCCTTCAGGATTGCGTGTCTGCACCCAGGGTGAAGAGCTAAATAAATCTTAAATGTGGATTTGGTTCAGGAATGGGAATATAGCAGTAAAAGTTGAAGTCTAGTATTTTGTTTCAGATGCCTCAGCTAGAATAATTGAACTGAGGACTTACTGGAATTCTGGTTTAGAGATTTTAGAAAATACTAATAAATATCTAAAGCCATTATTCTTTTTTTCTTCCAACCAAAGATGGTGTTATTTTTCCTCCTCCAAATTTTCTGTGGAAAGGTTTTTCTTGTCTTCAGAATCAGAACAACATTTCATTTGGAGATAGCCAGCTTTAGGTGGACTTCAACCCCCAAAGTAGCAGCTTTAAAATGAGGCCCTTGCTGTGGCTTATCTGTAGCACTATAAATGCAATTATGTCCTAACTAAATGACAAATAAGGTTAAGGCAAGATAGCCCATGAGTGTACATACTGGCTCTAATTCAATCAACATAATAGTTTTGCTGAGCAAAGAAGAGACATATTGTTTGGATTTTTTCCAACAGGATATCAACCACACAGTAAAATGGTCTGGCCTCGTAGCATAATTTAAGATTGTA